TGTTTTTTTCACATTCACAATGTTTTCAAGCATTACAAATATCTTATTCCAGAACATTTCCATCATCACAAAAATAAACCCCATATATGTTAGCTATTATTCCCATCTCTCCTTTCCAAAATCATCTATCAATAAGTAATCAAATTTTATTGGTTTATTTATTCTAGACATTTCATGAAAGTGACATCATGCGACATTTGTCCCTTAATGTCTGGCTTCTTTCACTTAACATATTTTTGAGATGCCTCGATGTCATAACATGTTTCAATACTTTGTTTCTTTTTATGGCTAAATAATATTCCATTGTATGGATATACCATATTTGATTCAACAGTTTATGAATAATTGAGATCTTTTAACCTATTGGCAATTGCCAATAAGGCTGCTATAAATATTAATATACAAGTTTTTGTCTAAACATATGTTTTCAGTTCTCTTGGGTATATACTTAGAAGTGAAATTGTTGGGTCATATGATAACTCTGTGTTTAACTTTTTGAGAACTTCCAAATAGTTCTCCACCATGGCGGCACCAGTTTTCATTCCTACCAGCAAGGTATTAAGGCCATTTGTCCACAACCTCTCCAAAATTTGTTGTTCCTGATTTCTTTTTTACAGCCATTCTACCAGGTGTAAATTGGTATTTTATTGTGATTTTTTTATTTGCATTTCTCCAGTGACTAAAAATTCTATGCTTTTTTGTCTGTGCTTATTGGAGGTTAGTGTATCTCATTTGGAAAAATGTCTATTCAAATATCTTGACCATATTTTAGTGGGGTTATTTATCTTTTCAATATTGTCATAAATTTTTTTTTATATATTCTGGATACTAGTCCCTTATCAGATATATGAACAATTACTATTTTTTCTCATTATGTGGGTAGTATTTTCACAGTCTTAATAATGTCCTTTAATGCATACAGTTTTATATTTTGATAAAATATAATTTCTTTATTCTCTCTTTGATTACTTGTGCTTTTAGTGTCATATCTAAAAAAACCCCTGAATACAAAAAAAAAAAAAAAGAAATTTTTGACTAATCCAGAGTCACAAAGACTTATCTCTATATTTTCTTCTACAAGTTTTATATCAATAGTTTACCTCTTATGTTTACCTTTTGAGTTAAATTTTGTATATATTGTGAGGCAATGTCAGTGGATATGGATACCTAATTGTCCCATACCATTGATGAAAAGACTATTCTTTCCTTATTGATTAATTTTGACACCCTTGTCAAAAAATAAATTGACCATACAGATAGATAATGACTTGGTTTTAGATTCTTAATTCCAATCTATTGATTGGTATGTATATTCTTGTGCCAATATTGTTCTATTTTGGGGGGGGGTTGGAATATTTTTACTGTGGATAAATATGTATATATAACATAAAATTTTCCATTTTAACTATTTTAACTTTCAATTTAGTGGCATTAAGTACATTAACAGTGTTCTTGAATAACTGACCCTTTTATCAACTTACAAAGTTGTTTATTTAGCCGCGGCAATTTTGAGAAAGAAAAACAAAGTAAGAGGAATCACAATATCCCTCTATAAGTAGACATCACAATATGCTGGACATCAAACTCTACTACAAAGCCACTATACTCAAAACAATCTGGTACTGGCACAAGAACAGATCCATAGAACAGTGGAACAGAATAGAAAGCCCAGAAATAAGCCCAGGTCTCTATGTGCATCTAATATTTGACAAAGGGGGCAGAAGCATAAAATGGAGCAATAATAGCCTCTTCAACAAATGGTGTTGGGAGAGCTGGATGGCTACATACAAAAAATTGAAATTGGATCATCATCTGACACCATACACAAAAATAAACTCAAGATGGATAAAAGACTTAAATATAAGTCGCAACACCATCAAAGTCCTAGAGGAGAACATTGGCAAGAAACTCTCAGATATCCCATGCAGCAATTTTTTCACTGATATGTCTCCTAAAGCAAGGGACGTAAAGGAAAGAGTAAACAAGTGGGAGTTCATCAAAATAAGAAGCTTCTGCACAGCTAAAGAAAACATCAGCAAAATGAAAAGGGAGCCAACCGTATGGGAAAATATATTCGCTAATGATACATCAGATAGAGGTTTGATATATAAAAGATACATAAAGTATCTTTTTATATATCTTGGAGATATATAAAGAACTCACTCGACTCCACTCCAAGAAGACAAACGATCCAATCAAAAAATGGGCAAAGGACCTGGGAAGACGTTTTTCCAAGGAGGAGATACAGAGGGCCCAGAGGCATTTGAAAGGATGCTCAGCATCACTAGCCATCAGAGAAAATGCAGATCAAAACCACCAAGGGGTACCACCTCACACCGGTCAGAATGGCCATCATAAACAGATTAACAAACAACAGGTGCTGGCGAGGCTGTGGAGAAAAGGGAACCCTAGTACACTGTTGGTGGGAATGCAGACTGGTGCAGCCATTGTGGAAAGCAGTGTGGAATTTCCTCAAAAAGCTGAAAATAGAACTGCCTTTTGATCCAGTGATTCCCCTGCTGGGGCTATACCCCAAGAATCCCAAAACGCCAATTCAAAAGAACCTATGCACCCCAATGTTCATAGCAGCACAATTTATAATAGCCAAGTGTTGGAAGCAACATAAATGCCCATCAGTAGATGATTGGATCAAAAATTATGGTATATTTACACCATGGAATACTATGCAGCAGAAAGAAAAAAAGAACTAGTAAACTTCGCAACAGCATGGATGGAACTGAAGAGCATTATGCTAAGCGAAATAAGCCAGGGGGCGAAAGACAAATACCATATGATCTCACCTCTAAGTGGAACCTAACCAACAATACAAAGATGCAAGGAAAATAAGACCAGCAACACTGAAAGGAAAAGAAACCAACAGAGACAAGAGACGGGGGCAGGCAGGGGGAGGGCGGGGGAAAAGGAAGGGAAGGGGAAAGTCAAGGAACGTGTAGCAAGGACTCATGGACAAAACCAAAGGGGAAGAGTTGAGGGAGGGAGGAAGGAAGGGAGGGAGCAAGGGAATGTGGTGGGGGGTAGGCAGAGACAAATGTATTTGAAAAAATTAATTAATTAATTTAAAAAAGAGTTGTTTATTTGTATCTGTTTAATTTAAAGTCCAGATTGTTTAATATTAGTGTAGTTCTCCCAGCTCTCTTTTAGTTCTTATTTGCATGGTGTAATATTTTTCAACCTTTTACTAGTTGAATCTCTAAAATTCATTTCTAAAAATTATATAACATGCAATGAACTAAATTATTAGTGGTTCAAGTACATTGACTGCTGGAATTAAAGCTAGTTTTTTTTCTTTCTTTCTTTCTTCCTTTCTTTCTTCCTTTCTTTCTTCCTTCCTTCCTTCCTTCTTTTCTTTCTTTCTTCCTTCCTTCCTTCCTTCCTTCCTTCCTTCCTCCCTTTCTTCCTTCCTTCCTTCTTTCTTTCTTTCTTCTTTCTTTCTTTTCTTTCTTTCTTTCTTTCTTTCTTTCTTTCTTTCTCTTTCTTTCTTTCTTTCTTTCTTTCTTTCTTTCTTTCTTTCTTTCTTTCTTTCTTTCTTTCTTTCTTTCTTTCTTTCTTCCTTTCTTTCTTTCTTCCTTTTTCTTTCTTCCTTCCTTTTCTTTCTTCCTTTCTTTCTTTCTTTCTCTTTCTTTCTTTCTTTCTTTCTTTCTTTCTTTCTTTCTTTCTTTCTTTCTTTCTTTCTTTCTTTCTTTTTCCTTCTTTCTTTCCTTCTTATACAAGTGTTTACTGAGAAATTACTACAAACCAGGTCATAATTTATGTAGTAGGGAGGAAGAGGTTAGTAAAGAAGCGAAGTAACTCCTCTAGTGTAGTGTATGTTTTAGGTAGTGAGGTAAATGAACAAGTGAATAAACAGAAAAATTCATAATAATAGTTTAATTGTTGAGTACTGATTAAGCCTATGAAGAATAAGTCAAGGAGTGAAAGGAGGGAACAATGTCCATTGAGGAGTGGGGTGACTATGGTATGGAAACATTCAAGCAAAGATGCAAAGACCTGAAGGAAGAGAGGGAGCTTTCTGAACATTGGTAACAGCAAATACAAAGACCAAGGCAAGAGCATGCATGCGATTGGACAGGAAAAGCAAAAACCTTGCTGTGAATGAAGTGGAATGAATGAGTAGGTGAGGGATAAAATATGATGAAGCTCATTTAAAACCGAAGTATTCATGAATGAGCGGCATCACTCTTTTCATAGGATTTCCAGAGGGAGGAAAAATAACACCATTATTTGGTGTTTTTAACAGTTTGAGTTGGTAGTCATACACAGGAAAATTGAGAAATTTCTTTATTAACAATTGATCCCCTTTTCTTTTCAGGCTTCTTTTGAAAAAAATCACATGGTCATACTTTTTCTATGAAAAAAACTTACTGAAGACAGAAATATTAACTCTTTTAAGATGCCATATTTATATAGCTCTGAATAAAATATATTGACATAAAGTAAATACCTTTATTTAAAAATCCAGGTTATGGTCTTTTTTCATTTTGGACTCAGGATATTTTTTCAAACAAAATAAATTTAAAAAAGGTAGACATAAGTTTATATTCTAATACCACAGTTATTTATTTTAACTTTTTAATTAAAAACTAACTGTATTTCATCTAACCCCTTTAACAAACTTCCGCTTTTGACTGTATGTGCACAAATGGGATCCTTGCAGTGCTCCTACTCATGGGTTTGTGTGAGCCCTGTTTTATGTGTATGCTTGCACTGGCATGTTGTAGAGAAAATGTGAACACATAAACAAATCAAATATAATGAATAATGTTTATGGCAAAATTATCTAAAAACCCTTAAGGCCCCTCTCGTCATCCCTAGTCAGATGGTACGTATCTGGACATAATATTTTTTCTTAGGTGATAGACTTTTAAAGAGGAAAGGTTATCACCCCGGTAACTTAAATGAGGTATAGGTTGTGAAATGTGAGTTATTGCATAGAGAAGAAATGACAGGAATGAAATTAGGTTATTGTAGATCCTACAGCTTTAAAAGGTGAAGCCTAGAGACAATTTTGCCTCCTCAACAACCTTCTTAAATGCATTTTTGATCTCTTTGTTTCTCAGGCTGTAGACCAGGGGGTTCAGCATGGGGATGACCATCATATAGAACACAGATGCGATTTTGTCTGTGTCCATGGAATGGCTGGAGTTGGGCTGGGAGTACATGAAGATGGCAGTCCCATAGAAGATGGAGACTGTAGTGAGGTGAGAAGCACAGGTAGACAAAGCCTTCTGATATCCCTCAGCTGAGTGCATCTTCAGGATGGTGACAAATATGAACAAGTAGAAAATCAAGATAACCAAGAGAGCAAAAATGATGTTGAAGCTGGCCATAACAAGAATCAGCTCACCACTATATCTGTTTGAGCAGGAGAGAGCCATGACAGCTGGAACATCACAGAAAAAGTGATGGACCAGATTAGATATACAGAAAGAAAGGCTGAATGTGTCCCTAATGTGGACAGAGGCATTCAGGAAACCACAGACATAGGAGCCTATGCCCAGACGCACACACACGCCTGGCGTCATGGGGGTGGTGTAATGCAGGGATTCGCACACTGCTGCAAAGCGGCCATAGGCCATCGAGGCCAAGAGGAAATATTCCACAGTGGTGAAGGCTACAAAAAAGAACATCTGAGCAGCACATGCATTGTAGGAGATGGCTGTGTCTCCTGAGAGGAATCCAGCTATGACCTTGGGAGTGACAGCTGAAGAGTAACAAAAATCAACCAAAGACAGAATACTAAGGAAAAAGTACATGGGAGTGTGGAGATGAGAGTCCAAGAATATCAGTAGGATTATTCCCAGGTTTCCAACCACACTGATGAGGTAGATGAGAGTGAACATGATAAAGAGGGGGACCTGCAGCTCTGCAGCTTTGGTTAGTCTTAGCAGTATGAGCTCAGCCCCTTCTGTATTGTTCTCCATGGATGGGGTTTGGGAATCACAGGAGGCCTTGTAACAAGGAGAAATAAAGAAAAAGAGTGATAAATAAGAGATGGAAGTGAAATTTATTTAATATATATATATTGATTATAGCACTATTTTATACTTCAGGAGTCATCAGATCTAATGTATGAACCAGACAATGAAACATAAAGGCACAAATTACCTATCAAGGCATGCACTGTTGAAGTTGGAAACTTTTCATGGAGCACTTCCAGTTTTTAAATTTTATAAGTTTGTAAGCTGAGATACAGAAAATGCAATGGCTTGATTAGTATGAAATGTTTGGAATGAATATATCTATCAATCAAGTTTCTCTGAACCTAGTCAATGCTTAGATCTGTGTTGCCCATGTGCCAGGACCCGCCCTAGACACTTTGCATGTATATTAATTTATTATTGTCAATAACCCTGTAGGACTGATTGTTATCCCATTTAACTTATGAAGCACAGACATTGAGTAATGTATTTAAGTTTACAAAATTATTACTGCCAAAGCCAAGCTCTGTACCCAGGCTGAGTGATTCCAAAGTCCACTGCTCTTGACAATTAACTGAATTTAAATCAAAATAAATGTAATCCCACTTATAATTATTCAGTGCTCTAGTGGCCCAAAATCAGTGTCTGGAGTTTTACAGTGAAGTAACTGAAAGGTGTATGCATAGTGCATGCGGTAGGATAACTGGAGCGGCAGGAGCACATATAATCAATAGATGCAATTCTGAGGAGAAGGCACAAAATTGCATATAGAGCTTGGGTTCTGGGATGAGGTGCATATCAACCTTGCTGTTTACTACTTAGAAGTCATTGGTCTTCATCTAATGTCTTCAAGCCTGATTTTCTTCATCTTCAAAATGAAAATAGTAATGAGAACTAACTCAAGGTATTATTGTGAGAATTAAGTGAGATAATACATTAAAAATAATGAATAACACTTTGGATATTTAGCCCAGTGATTAGTGTTAGGTACAATATTAGGATTAGGATTCAGAATCAGATGAAATGATAACCTCTAATTTTGTTTGAGAAAGGTGTGTGGTAAAATACAAGGCTTGGGTGTAGGTGGATGTGTTTTGTAGTCTCGAAGCCTTCTTCTTCAGTTTGCCTTTTCTTGCACACTCGGTCCACTGAGATTTTCTGTGCTTCCAGTGTTTCTCAGCCCTTCCTCTGCCCTCATGACTGGCTATTCCAGACATTTCATGTAAGCCATTTTCCCCTTAATTTGTTCCTTAAAATTCACATGCTGGCTTGGGTTGAAAGAGTCATCTTTCTTAAATTCATTCTTTCTTTCATTACTGTTAACCCGTAGTCAAATCACAAAGATCAGTGGGTAAAAGTTCCTAGTTTCTTGGTTTCAGATCTGTTTTATTGACCAATTATGTGGTATAAAAATTATAATTTATTCTAGTGTAGGAACAGTATTTTTGTTATCTTTTTATTTGACTTTAAAGACTATAGAAGGACATTTATCACCTACTAATCATTGTTTTACTGTCACCCTCCTTAATCCTGTCACAAATTCACACGGCATGCTTGGCCCATAAAGTCATGATGCTTGCCAGCGTTTGATAATCACAACCATCTGTAGAACATACTGAGTTCTACAATCAGTAATATGACTTTATGACCTATATGCATATATATATATATATAGAAAGTCTTTTTCACTTAATCCTAACAATAACATGTACAGTAAGTAGCAGTAGTTTTTTCCCATTTCACCACTGAGAGAACTAAGGATTTGAGAAACTATGTAAAACTCTACAACTAAATGTTAGTATGGGGAATATTCAACATTTAGGATTCAAAGCCAGCTGTGACCAAATCAAAAGCCTGTGCTTTTAGCCACCTCACTGTCAGCATTTATAGATGTCCTAGTAGTGACAAGAATGAGATTATGAGGAAAAGGTTATAAGGGAGTATAAATCTTGCTAATTCAAAAAAATTATTTTACTCTCATCTTTTTTTATTAACCTTCAATGAGAGGTCAACAGACAGTGAACAAGGTGAAATTAGCACCTATTCAATCAGAGCATCACCTATCCATTTTTTAAAAACCTCTTTTAAGAGAGCAGCATGATGACAATGTTTCAGAAGTATCACGAAACTCCCTGCTGATGGAAGTTTTGATACTTATGTCTAGGCTCAACTCACTGCTTTAGCAAAATATTCAAAAATCTATTTCTGTGCATAAATAAATTACACTGCCCTGTTGCTTCTGCACAAATTACACTTCTTGCTAAAAGTGTACATGAAATGTAGAAGCTTACCTTTCTGTTGGAAAAGAATGAGCAGTCAATTCTGAATAGTAAGTCCAAAATCAGAGATTCATCATGGAATAACAGATGCACACTGCTAGAGATGTTCTCTATCAGATACTGGTCCAAATTTTCCCAGATCTTTAAGATGGGTAGAGATGAGCGGAGGAACACAACCTGGAACCAGGAACTGGTGTTCAAGTCCTGGATCCACCATTCATCTTTTTGTGTACCCATGGAAGAGTCTCCTGTCTTCTACTTATCTGTGAAATAAAGAACAAAATTACATCCCCCACATAATTCACAGAATTGTGTCTGTGAATAGCAAATGAGAGAACTTCCATAAAACATCTTGCTGAGGAGTTATTATTTAAAAGTCAATCATTATAATTTTCATTTCGAAGTGTTTTCCCTGGTCAGCATTGGGAGTTTATATGCAATCCTGAGGTTAGAAAGTGCTGTGTGTACTAACAATGGTTAACATTCAAATAAGTAGATAATGGCCAAAGTGACTCAACACAGTCTGGTCCTGCAAAAATGACATCACATTGAAATATATTGGGATTTTAGGAGCTAATTCATGGGAATCAGGAGGGAGTTATAGAGACATGAAGTTCTCTGGGGATGTCCCCTATGAGGGCACACATAGCTCTTATCCCACTTTCCTAATGAAGAAGCAATTAAATTGCCTACGAGGACCTAACTGGATATGTTGAGGCTGCACACATGTTTTTGTATTACTTGTTGTTATTTCTTATTTCTCTACTTTCTCATTAAAGCATAATTTAGAAATAGTAATATTCATAATTATTAGTGCATAGTTCCAACAGTTTGTTCACATTTATGTGGTCACATAATTACTAACACAATCATGATGTAGAAGAGTTTCAACATCTAAGAAAAAGCTCTGAGCTTCTGTGGCCAACTCTTTCTACCATCCGATGGCAACCACTAAACTATTTTATGTCCCTATTGTTTTGTCTGTTCAAGACTGTTATTTAAATAGAATCCTAGTACATGTAGCCTTTGACTCTGGCTCCTTTCAGTTAGTATGGGGCATTTGAGATTCATCCATATTGTTACCTATATTAATTTCCTAGATCTGCCATAAAAAGTACCACAAACTGATTGGCATAAACAACAGAAATTTACTTTAACATTTCTTAGATAAAAATGTTGACAGGGTTAATCCTGTTGATTCCTTCTAAAGGCCGTAAAGGAGAATCAATTTCATGTACTCCTCTTGATTACTGAGTGGTTTGCTGGCAATCTTGTGTATTCCTTGACTTCTGCTGCATCTCTGTCTCTTTGTTAATCCTCACATGGTGTTCTCCCTGTGTGTGTGTGTCTTTCTCCAAATTTCCCCTTTTTATAAGGATACCAGTCATACTGAACTAGCAGCCCTCTCTGCTCCTGTATGACTTCATTCTAAATAATTAGATCTGTAATGACCCCATTTCCAAACAATATCACATCCTAAGTTACTGGAGTTAGGACTTCAACATACAAATTTTGGGAGATACAATTCAACCCATAATATATGAGCAGTAAAATATTTTTAAGTTGCTGAATGATATTTCTTTCTGTGGACACTACAGATTGTTTATCCATGCCCCAGTTGAGGGATATTTGTGTTGATTCCAGTGTCTAGAGGTTAAAAATAAAGAATATCTAAACATTCTCCTCTTTTTTTGCATGAATTTAGGTTTTAATTTCATTTGGGTAAATATTTGTGAGTTGGAATGCTTGGTAAGATGGACAGTGTATGTTTAATTAAATGGAAACTGCCAAAACACTTTCTAAAGTGTCGTTACCATTTTGCATTCCTACTAGCAATGTACTATAACTACTTCACTTCTTTGCCAGCACTTGTTATTATAAGGGTGTTAAAATTTTTATTTTGGTTTTGTTTTAAATTTATTTCTGGGTGATGATTTCTTAGGTAGGGTGCCAAAATCATAGGCAACAAAAGCAAAAAGAACCAAGTGACATTACATCAAACGAAAAAGTTTCTGCACAACAGAAGAAACCATAGCCCTAGCTGATGTGGCTCAGTGGACTGAGAGCCGGCCTGCAAACCAAAGTGTCTCTGGTTTGATTCCCAGTGTAAGGCACATGTCTGGGTTGCAGGCCAGGTCCCCAGCAGGGAGCCTGTGAGAAGCAACCACACATTGATGTTTCTCTCCCTCTCTTCCTCTCTCCCTTCTCCTTTCCAAAAATAAATAAATAAAATCTTTTTTTTAAAGAAACCATCAACACAGTAAAAAGGCAACTTACTGAAGTGAGAGAAAATAGTTATAAACCCTATATCTGAAAAAAGGTTAATATCTGAAATATACATATAAAAATCCTACAAAAAAAAGCAAAAGCAAAAGAAAATAAAAGCCCATTAAAACTGGGGAATGTATTTGAAGAAATATTTCTCTAAAGAAGACATTAAGGTGTATATATAAAAAGATGTTCAACATCATTAATCATCAGGAAAATGCAAATCAAGTCACTATGAGATACTATCTTACACCTGTGAGGATGACCATTATTAAAAAAACAGAGAATAATAATAAGTTTTGGTGAGGATGCAGAGAAACTGGATCTTTTGTGCATTGTTGAGAATGTAAAATGATGCAGTCACTATAGCAGATAATATGTAGATTCCTCAAAAACTGAAAGAACAATGATATATTCCAGAAATCCCACTTCTGGTGTTTATCCAAAAGAACAAACTTTAATAAAATAATAATAACCTTTTAATAAACTTTCAATAAAAGAAATTGAAATCAGAATCTTGAAGAGATATT